TTCTTAGTGACTGATGTTTATTATTACCATCCTATAAAGACTAGAATTTTATATTTGTTGCAGGGCTTTAACGTTTATAAGGGCACTCATAGACATGAACTCATCTGAAACTCCCTGTGCCCCACACTCCTTACTTTCCTCTTCCACTTACACTCTGACGAAGATTAGAAACCCTCTAACCTGGTTTACAGCATTGGGTGTCAAATATGGCTTGAAGGGTGACCCCTCTTAGTGAGTAGGGAGTGTGGCCTTTGTGATTGCTGTTTCCATGCGCAGAGGCTATTTGGCTTCATTCTGGATTCTTGGCTGTGTTTGGGTTGAGTGATGGAGCTGGAAGAGTTGACCAGACGAGAGGGGAATTATGCAGCTGGATTTCTGGCATAGATCATTGTTTTCTAAAATCCCCTCTGAAATGCTGTCTGAGGGCCTGTGTGAAGACTTAACTAAAAGATAAGTTTAATACATGCCTAATGCTCTATTAAAGATAAATATTCTAAAAATTTGTCTTAAATTTTGGAGAACAATTTGAGAAATACAGTAAATATTTTCCATTTGGTTCCTGGAATGAGAGAATGGTCAATGTGCAGGGCTTTGTATCATAGAGGGAAATTAATGAAATGTTTTCTTAAATTACATACACACACACACACACACACACACACACATATTAATTTCAGAGAGGAAAGGAGAGGGAGATAGAAGTAGAAACATCACTGATGAGAATCATTGATCAGCTGCCTCCTGCACAGCCCATACTGGGGATCGAGCCCGCAACCTGGGCATAAGAGTGAAGGGGAAGCTAATTCATGTAGAGGGGGGTAGTACTTTGGGACTAGGGCCCATGTGGTTGGTGCAGAAAGAGCAAGGTATAAAACATTGGAAGCCCAAAAGATAGAGAAGGCCAGGCCATGTAGGGCTTTGTAGGCCACAGTCAGGAGTTCAGATTTTAAGACTTTCCTATATAGTAGGCTGAGGTAATACAAGTTCTCCATACCCTGTTTCCCAGAACTGCCCTGCAGTTCTCTGCGTGAATAGGATACCCACTGGCCTCAAGCATGTCTTGGGCTTTTGCACTTCATATCCTCTGCTCAAATCTGAGCCGTCTCACTTCCAATGCCTTCTGTCACACCACCAGCATGACAGTCCTCCCACCTTTTCAAGATCACCACATCCCTAAAAATCCTTTATCCCCCCCCCATACCATTCATTCATGTAATTTTTCACAAAAATGTATTTAAAATATACTTTGTGCCAGCCATTGTGATGGTGGTTAAGGAGACAAAGGTGAATTAAGATAAATTAAGATAAACAAGTCTGCCTCCAGGACTGACAGTGCCTTGGGAGACAGAACAATAAATTTGGCATTCAGGTAAAACAACCTGGAATTTGCGTTGAGAAGAAAGAACACACTGTTCCTGAGTCAGAATGATTGGCTAAGATGGGCCCTAATTTATTTGGGGTCACCTAGTCTATGTGGGAAGAGAGTCAGAAAATCACTTTTAGGGAAGTAAGCTGAGACCTGGGGAGGAAAAACAAATAGCTGAGGGAAATGTGGCATGGTGAGAGAAGGGAGTTGTAGACAGAATCAACAGACTTTCAAAGGCCTGAAGCTATAAAGAGCTTGAGAACATCTAAGGAAAGCCTAAACTGAACAAAGGCCCCCTCAATCTAGGGGCAATAGTGAGGTGAGAAAGGAGTGTGGCTTTTGTGATAGCTCCTTCCATGCTTAGAGGCTATTTGGCTTAAATCTGGAGTCTTAGCAGTTGAGTGCTTGAGGCTGTTAGGCAGGGCTAGTTGATGCAGGCCTTGAAAGCTGTGGTAGGGAGTGTGGTTTTAAGTGCAATGTGCAATGAGAAGCAATTGAAATGTTTTAGACAAAAGAGTAACATGATTTTATTTGAGGTTGAGACTGCCATCTGTTCACCAAAATCCAGTTGTCTTTTCTCCCTGGGCACACAGCCAGATCCCATTTCCTGCCTCTCTTGGCTGTTGGCTGTGCATTCGACCCATGGAAGTAAGTGGTAGTGGTGAATACCGGACTAAGGCTAGCTCATAACACCCTCCCCTGTGGGCTTCCTCCTGCTGTTTCCCCTTCTGACTGGGCAGACGTGGGAGCCGTATAGAAATGGCAGAGCACCATCAGCCTGGACACCTGCATGTCCGTGTGGAACCAAACCTCCTGTCAGCTTGCATGGAACTGTCCTGAACTTTCATGTGAGCAAGAAAGAAGTACCTGATTTTTGAGCTGTTCGTACATGCTCAGCCCATGTGTTACCACATTCTAGTTTATCTAAAATTAATATGATGTTTTGAAAGAACAGTTTTGGCTGCTGAGCTTTGTGAAAATGTGAGAAAGTGTGAACAATAGCAACGGCCCAAGTGAAGACCCATTGTGATGGAGACTAGGGAGATTTCAGTTAAAACAGATTTTAGATAATCTTGGATGTAAACTCAACAGCTCCTACTGATAGTTTGCTGTGCAGTAAGATTGAGCGTAAAAAACACTCACTTAATTTGACTCTCAACTGCCATATCACTCACTTTCTGGACTTTCCATAGCATATCCCATTGAATACCTTTAGGCACATATTTTATTTATTTGACGAGAATGCCTTCAGTTGGAGGGCAAATAAACCATGTCTTCGAGAATTTTTTATTTATCATGGTGTGTAGTTCAGTACTTTTTTAAAAAAAAATTAATGAATATAATTATGAATACAAGGATAGGCTCTCAGATTTTCTGTATAGAATTATTGGAGGTCACATGACCCAGCTCTTGCCATGCCAACGATATTACCTCAATCTGGTTTAAATTTTAATTGCCTTCTAAGGGAGAGGTTTAGCTGTTAATTTCATTCTACCTATGGTCTAGAGGGGAAAGTAACACTATGGTGCTTGGGATTTGAATATTTGCAATAGAAGGAATGGAGAAATGTCAGAGGCATGTGGGCTAATCCTCACTACCCTCCCCATCACTTTCAAGTGTCCCAATAGCCATTGCTCTTTGCTCAGAGCTGCTGAATGCTTCAGTGACCACTGTTTCCATCCAGAGTTAGGCATTCATCTGGGAGAATCATTATGATCTATGGGAGTCTCAAGATAGGAGGTAGTTTCTGTCATCCAAATGAGCAATGATGAGGTCTGTAACTAAGAAAGTGGCAGTGGAAATAGAAGATCCAGGCATCCATACCTCTGGGCCTATTTTGTTTGTTAGTTTATTTTGTTCATTAGATTCCACATATGAGTGAGATCATGTGCTATTTGTCTTTCTCTAAGCTGGCTTATTTCGCTTAACATAATAGTCTTTAGGTCAATGTTCTTTTTAGTTACAGCCAGAGTTTCTTTAAGATCATAAAGGCTAAGTGTGGTGAGAGGACTCTGGTGATGTTTTCTTGTAAGATATTGCCTCATAGATTCAAGGGCTGTTTATATGTGCACAGCATCTAGGTGGGTGTAGAATTGGCATCTGGAGACCTCCCTGTGAGGCTTAGCATGTATGTAGTTGGTGTAGAAGTCCAAATGGAAAGGAGCGAGTTACAGATTTGAATGCAGTAGAAAAGCTACAGCCGGAGCTGTATTTACTGAGAACAAATGCTATTTGGTAAGGTGTGCCTACCTTTCATTTCTGTTGCTTGATACCAGAGTTGTAGAGACATTAGACCAACATGAATTAGAAAGGATGAGAAATTCCTCTCCCCGATCATGTTCCATAAAGGCCAGTGACCTGTGAAAATATAGAATAAGTTAAGGGCCTGAGAAGAAAAATATGACTAACTTTTCGATCTGATATATTTTTTGAAATAATTACAATTTCCACACTAACGTTATTTTTTCAACATTGTTTTCAAATAAATATACTGAAATTTAAATTAATATACATATTGATATATGACCTTTAAGTAGATAAATGTAACTATTTGTAATGTAGACTTGATACTTAAGAACAAATTTCAAACAAAACCATCATTTCTCTTCTATAATACTGAATATAGTCCTGAGGTTTTCTAAATAAACATTCATTTTCTAAAGAAGATGAAACAGAAAGAGACACTAAAAAAAGAGGTGGAAAGAATTAAACGGAAGAATAATCTTTTCAGTGTGAAGGATGAAACTTGAGAAGGAAAACAAGCATTGCTTAAGAAATTGGCGGAGATGCTGGGCGATCTAGGTCATTTTCAAAGCTTGGAAGAGCTGTCACCTGTACTGGGAGTGAAACATTCGTCTCCAAGAGATACAGGTGCCTGGTAGGTGAATTTTAGCTCAATAAAAGGGAGAGCTCTACCAGTCAGAGCTATCTATAAATATTTCAAGTCACTGGCTGTGTATGAGAATATCAATGAAGTCACTTTTCCCCCCTTGATATATATATATATATATATATAAAATCATGATGTTAGATTAAGATAGAACAAATATGAGTTAGTTTTTCAAATTAATAAAAGTAGAAACTTGGAGTTTTCAATGAAGCCTAAAAAGGCTAATTAAAGGCAGAAATAAGTTTATATACTGAGTGCACTGTGGGACTTACTCCTCTCATAGCACAGTAGTATGGAAGTGAGATGTAAATGAGTTTAAAAAAAGGGTAACATGCATGTACAGAAGGTCCACACTGAGTTGTTACAGGAAACTAGAAATGTTTCAGGAGTTTACTTGCTCCATAAGATTTCTTTTAGAGATAAAATACCAAGTAGAATATATAAATGCACTTCTTTTGCCGTTTGACGAAAGGTATACATTGTATAATTTTCTTATTCTTACAGCATTTAAAGCTCTTATTTTATCTTAAATGAATTTTTTAGTCCTGTCATACATGAATTTATACCTCATATGAATTACTGATATCTCATAATACCTTAAACAATTTTAAATTTATAGCCAAAAATGGAAATAAAAAGCATTAGTTTTCACAAATTAAATTCTTATAATTCAGAAAAGGTACTCATGAGGTAAAGGGGGTAGATATTTCTTTAAGAAATTAATACATTTTATGCTTTCTCTAGGCTGGAATGATAAAAAGTCATGATGATGAGTATTTCATTGAACCCTTGGAAAGAGGTAAGCAGATGGAGGAAGAAAAGGGAAGGATTCATGTTGTCTACAAGAGATCAGCAGTAGAACGGGCTCCCATAGACATGTCCAAAGACTTCTACTACAGAGGTAGGCGTCTCTGACAAGGCTTAATATTATCTGTAATGTTAAGAAATGATGAAAACGATTCTCTTATTCTCTTATCAATTAAGAGAATGTGATTGTCATGTGCTCTTGTATAATGTGGAGGCAGCAAAAGAGGTTTATATAGGGGTTTATAGAGGCAAAGTAGATTTATGGTTGTTTGTATGAAAATAATACAATAAATAATACAAGAATAAACCCGTGTGTTTTGCCTACTCACAACTCTAAACCTCCTTTTGCCTACCCCTGTATTTATAAAACACGAAATATGGCTTTTATTTTTTGAAATGAATATAGTGCCCTGGCCAGTGTGGCTCAGTTGCATCGTCCCGTGCACCTAAAGTTGCTGGTTCGATTCCTGGTCAGGGCACATGCCCAGGTTGTGGGCTCCATCCCTGGTCGGGGGCATGTAGGAAGCAACTGATTGATGTTTTCCTCTGACATTGATGTTTTTTTTTTCTCTCTCTCTCTCATCTTCTCCCTTCCTCTCTCTAAAAATCAATAAAAATCTTTAAAAATTTTTTAAAAATAAAAATGCATATAGGAATATATGTTATAGGCATTGTTTTATTTCAGTGCAATTTTTGTATCCCCAATATGTTTGTTATTTATTATTTTTTAAAAGTTTCACATTAAAACTGTAATTTTTGTAGCTTATATTAAAATTTGAAAATATTTGTGTTTTCTAGAAGTATCTAAATTATGCTTTGTTAATATCACTTAAAACATTTATAATAGTTATATTGACATATCAAAGAGTTGCATTGTGTTTTAAGAGTAGTGTGATTGCTATATTTGAAAATATGTATGCTATTTGACTTGAAGGTTTGTTTCCTAAAACTTGTTACATGTGGAGGAGACACTGAGTTGAATGCTTTTGTTGAATTTTATTTCAAAATAGCCTGGAGCACTAAAATCAACATTAAGGCACAAGAAGATTGTCTATTTTTGTTTGTTTTAATGAAATCTGAAAGTAACTTGGCATTGGAGAGGTATTCTTGGGTATAAAATTGGGTATAAAAGTTTCCTGTATGGGGAAGAAAGGAAAATTGGGAATCTATGTTTTAAACCAAGTCTCAAAAAGTCTATATTTACCTTTGCCAGGCCAGCTTTCTGAATTGAAGATAATGGAAGTTTAAAGATAGGGAGATTTCAAGCATATAAATAATCTTAATTGAGCAATTATCTATATTCTATATTGAGTTGTTACTTGGTTATTATGTTGATTTTCAGATGTCACTGGCTTCCTTTAATATGCTAGTCTCTGACTCGTAAAATTTAAAATAAGTGTAAAATGAATATGACCTGAAATTTTTTCAAAAAATTTCTGTTTTGAAACAAAAGATTTGCATTAATAGATGTAGTACTGTGACATGTGAGCCTGTCCTAGAGGGTCACTGCCATATAACAGAAAGAGAGGACACTGTAGTTAGACAGTGAAATTAGTAGGTCTACAACATCTAGTTGTTCTGTTTACTTTAGATTAATACCTTTCTTTAATTTCCTTTATCTGTGAATAGAGTTAAAATACATTGCACAATTGTAATAACTATTAGAAATGATAAATGCAAATTGCTGGATATAGTCCTCAATAATAACAGGTGCTTAATCAAGGCTAGATATCGTTTTTGTTATTAATTTATTAGTATTCATTATTTTGTGCAAAAGATTTACATGTTACAAATTTTGATAAAGTTGAATAGTTGATTGTCTTCACGTGAATACATTACTGTTAATTCTCATTTATATTTTCATGTTTTAAAAATGTAATTCTAAATCAGGAGACTGGTTATGTCAAAGGATAGATAGTAGGATACTACCTGTAGTTTTGGTTGTTATATATTAATCATATCTAATATTTATTTTGAGACAACTGTTAAATATCTTTTTAAAAAAAGCATAGCCTAGCCCTAACTGGTTTGGCTCAGTGGATAGAGCGTCTGCCTGTAGACTGACGGGTCCTGGGTTCGATTCTGGTCAAGGGCACATGCCCGGATTGCAGGCTCTATCCCCAGTAGGGGGCATGCTGGAGGCAGCAAGCTGATCAATGATTCTCTCTCATCACTGATGTTTCTATCCCTACCTCTCTGAAATCAATAAAAATATATTTTTAAAAAAGCATTGCCCACATGTTGTGGAATCACATTGGAGGACTGGAGACCCGATTAGACACTATGACTGTCATCCTGTTTGTTCCATCTGTCATACCTAGAGTTTCACCAAGCTGTATCCTATTGGTCCATTTCAATTCCTGGTATATCTATAAATGTCAGCCCTGGCACTTTTTATTAGTATGCTAACTACAGGGAAAAAGAGAAGATTATTTTTTCTGAAAATAAGAAAATTGTGAGCAATAATATGTTTAATACATTTTTTGATGCTAAGTTAGGGAAATTTACTAGTCATGGCATATTATATAAAAGAATTGAATGGGATTAAGTTAATTTGAGATATTAATTTTTTTAATTATTTAAAATTTTATAGTATCAAAATCAACATACCCAGATTTTATAATGTAGACACTGAGACTGTTTGTTTTGAGTTTTTCACTCGTGAGTGGAGAAGATTGCCTTACAGCAGAAGTATTCCACAAAGGAGGGTAATGACATTTTGGAAAGGTTCTTAGTGATCATGGGTGAAAGAAAAAGAGGTTCCTTTGTTAACTCTCAATTACCTTAAAACTTGAACCAAAATAGGACCATTCAGTTTTCTTAAAATGTTCCATGATAAAACCTAGCATGAGCTTAATGATTTTTGTTATTTATGAAGTTCTGATTGAACTGAGTTACTGGTGATATCATGTATCTCCTTTGGAGAATCTTAAATTGTAACCATTTATTTTAGAAGTGTAAATCTCTCCCCAAGGCAAAAAGAGATTCAGATTCGGAACTGTAAGTGTACCATATTATAACTTTTAAATTCTTCTTTTAACTTATTGGTTATAGGACTGAGAGCCAAGCTTTTTCGTGGACTAAATACTTTACAGCTAAAAATTAAGAATACATTTTCATACCCCATTTTATCATTTTAAAATGTAAAATTGAACAGCTTCTAGGAAGAGAAAGGTATATTGATTTATAAATGATAACTATAGTATAATATAAAATAGTGCTTTTTCTGGATCAATTCAGGATGTTATTTTAGGAGACACATGAGGTTTTTCCTTCAAAAGTTATATGAAGAGGAAAAAATACATAAGATTTACTTAGAAAGAAACACATTTGAGAGCCATGGTCTTCATAAATTTCTCTGACAGCAAGGCACTTCTGACCCTACAGTTTCATCAGTAGGGCCCATGTAATTAAATGCTCTGCAGTTTGTTAGTTGTCACAGTAATTGCCTGGCTACGTGTCTTGCTTTGTCAGCTTGGCAACTCAGAACTGCCTTTGATTGTTCTGTAGATTGATGCAAGCATTCTAAATTAAACCTGATTTTGATCTAAACTAGGTGAGTAGTAATGAGATAGAGAGGAATCTGATTGGATTCTAATTGAAGTAAAATTGATAGGGTTAATTGTTGGAATATATGTTAGGTTTAGAGAGAAAGAGAGTGATCAAGGATGACTTGGACTTCTAATCAGGAAGACTAGAGAATTATCTTTCTAGATTTCAGGTATTTAAAATAGAAATAGAAATAAGCTTGATGGTCAATGACAAGTGGGAATGCATTTGGACATATTGAGTGTGAAGATAAATTAGAACAATGGGTGAAGTAAAAAGTGCATAGTATATTTTCATAATCACGTCCCAGATTCAGTGCATGAATGGCCTATGTACATGTTCTGGCAGAGGTGGGTAAAGGTTAGCTTCGGAGTCAGGTGAAAGCTATTGACTTGTGGATGCTTGGAATGTCTCTGCTTGCCTTCTACTCTCTCATTCTCAACTCTGTATCGCTGAGAATAGAAGGTGTACAATGTACAGAAATGGAGGCCCATGAAAAATGTTTGCTATCTATCACTATGGGAGAGGAGGAAATTATGTCCTCAACAAAACACTAAAAAGAT